GGGGGGGGGGGGGGGGGGGGGGGGGGGGGGGGGGGCGTCATGCCGTGTTTCGACATTTCCAAAGACCGTACGAGACAAACAGGAGGAGGGTGGGTAGCAAGTCACCGTAGTGAGTTACACGCAACACGTTTAGCTGGGTATCAAGCGGGCGCAGCAGAGGATGGAACCGAGAGCCTGCGTACGACGAGCAGGGGTAGACGGAGCAAGGTGGGCTACGCTGATCAGCACGTATTTCACGGATGCGCTCGTTTGAGAGTAACACGATGCACGCGACGAACGCTTCCGCCAATGGATCGATCTTTCATGTGCCTTTGATTTGTTTTGCACTACCACCGCTGTAGCCTGTATCCACGGAGGTTCTCTTGTGCTATGGTACAGATCACCTCGTGTCGGAGGCCATAGGAAATGGCGACAACACACTTTGTTCATATACAGACGACGACGACGACGACGAAACGTCCACAGCAGCAACACAACAGCAAACTCGAAACGGATGTGTCCTTGAGCTCGACAGCAACAACATCACCACCACCATCAAGAACAGCAGCAGCAGCACCACCAACAACAACAGGAACAACAGCAGCAGCAGCAGCAGCACCGACAGGAACAGCTGCAGCAACAACAACAACCACCAGAGGCACCAAAACAGTAGCAGCAGCAAGACGTCACACAAACATACCTACCTCGGAACGGACTTGTCCTTGAGGTCGGTGTAGAACTTGGGCGCGTTGAAGTGCGCGACGAAGGCGGTCGAGAGCATCGACACCAGGATGAGAGCCTGCGAGTTCATCGCGCCGGTGCCAGAGAAAACGGGCCTGGCGTCCTTCGCGAGGCCGGCGAAGAAGCGTCCTCCCTCCACGTAGCTGTTTTTCGTTGATTGGCGGATGGGTACAAAGCGGATGGACAAGTAGAGGAAGGAGATAATGAGCGGGAGATATGGCAGATGGGTACACATGTAGCCGGTGGACACGATGTGCGCGATATGCCTTTTTGGGGGGCGGATGGACACATAGCGGATGGACAAATAGAGGATGGACATGATGAGCGTTTTGTCGTTGTTGTTGTAACACTCGCGCTGGACGGCGGGCCCCTTCAGTTGGGTGGATGGATACATAGCGGACTGATACGATGGGCGGGAGGTATCGTCAACACTTTATGCTACAGT